CGGGTACGACGTATGGCTAGGAAATGTCCGCGGCACCAGATACTCGCAGAGAAACTTACATTTGGCCACGTCAGACGCAGATTTCTGGACGTTCAGGTACAGTCAGGTATAATTATTCGTTCATGGCCAGAAATCGAGACAATGTATTCTGATCCGTTCGTACAGCTGGCATGAAATCGGAATATACGATATTCCAGCGATGATCGATCACATTACCGAGCAAACAAAGCAGGAGAAGATTTTTCTGGTAACGCATAGCCAGGGTGGCACCGCGTTCTTCGTGATGGCCAGCGAACGGCCGGAGTATCAAGAGAAAATCATCGCCCATTCTGCTTTAGCTCCAGCAGTCTTCATGTCTAGAACAGGAGCTTCTCTTACCAAAGTGTTGGCCTTCGTAACTGCCAATAGCAACGTACGCTTCGAAATCTAATTTTAATAACATTAGTAATTATTAAAGCTTTCGATACTATTAATTTCCAGAACAACTAATCTCGATATCAGGCGAAACGGCAATGAATTAACATTTCTGTTTCTTTCTTTCAATCTTTTCGTAGCGGATATTGAATTTACTGGACATGTATGAAATTAAATCATCCGACGTACTTATACCTACAGCTGGAAAAATAGCATGTCCTAAAGAATCACCTCTGTTGCCATTGTGTAAAGGCATCCTTGACCTATTATTTGGCTTCGACGAGAAACTTAATACGGTAATCAAATGTAAATAACAGTGCGTTGTTAATCGATACATTTTCACGTACTATTTTTCGAATTCATAGAGTGCGTTGCTTCCTGTTTTTCAATACGCTCCTGCTGGCGCATCTATTAAACAATTTGCACATTATGGACAGTCGGGTCAATCAGGTCGATACTCAGTAGTCGAACATACAGGTGAATAGAACTTTATAAAATTTATCTCACGACGTGCTGCCTTCTTTATTACAGCCAAGTTTCGGCAATTTGATTATGGCGCTGCCGATAACATGAAAAAATATGGCCAGAAACAGCCTCCTGATTATAATCTCGGCAATGTCTCGATACCAGTGGATTTGTATTATGGCATCAAAGACGTACTCGCCGATGTTCAGGTTTGTATGGCGGACCTTCAATTGGTCTCGAACGTATTCTCAATATTTTCCTTCCCTTTCAATGGTC